CCCAGGATAGTTCTCAATAATTCTCCTCTTTGAAAAAATAAAAATAGTATCTCTCAGAATAAACTCCACTGCAATAATGTTCTAAAAGAGGAATGGGAATAATGTGACTCTTAGAAAGTGGCCCACATGCCCCCAATACCCTGGGAACTCCCAAAAGTTATTTTAATTGAAAGAAATAGTCTAGAAGGCATGGTTTTGATCAAATGCTATCTTACCACCTCACAGGAGACCAAAATAAATGTGAAAACTGAACACAATACTGCTAGTTGTGAAGAATGGCCATGATACAGCCCAAGCTGGTTCCGAAAGACCCAAAAATTACTCTCCAACTCTTTGCACATGCCCACTTCTACCCTTAAGCCACAGATGACAAAACAAGTTTAAGGAAAAGGAGCTCATGAATACTGTATATACTTGTGTATAAGGCTAGAAATTTTAGCCAAAAAACTGACCCCAAAAACCTATCCATGGGTCTTATCAAAATCCTCAATGTTGGCCCCAAAACCTGCCCTCGACTTACATATGAGGTTGACTTATAGCAGAGTATATACGGTAGATCAGGCAGCAGAAGAGTGTCGACATACCAGGTTATGGATAACATTAGTCAGAGTCCAGACTACAGGGACGCTAAAGCAGGGGATGCTGAGAAGGATGATGTGAAGGACGGCCACTGAGATACTATAGGCCAGCCAGATGCCTCGACTGTTCATCACTCTTGTGTTAGGATTCACTTCACTATGAGCTACCCCAACATTCATACTGGAAAGAGAACACATCATGGATACACAGTTGAGTTACACATCAGAAATCACAAAAAGACTTTCTTGGCCTATCCAAATTCTCTTTGGTTTCAAACTCTAAATCTTAGCTGTTCTCAGAACCTCCTGAACCAAAGCAAAATACAATTTCAAGATCAAAAAATGAATGCAAGGATTTCTGCTGTGCTAATAATTATATCTTCCAAACTTAGCATATATATCACGCTCAATTCCCTTATGAGAAAAGGGGTAGGTTGTTGAAGCAAAATAATGCTCATTGGCAAAGAACTCCCTCTGTCTTCTCAGATCCTCCTCTTTACACAGTAAAACATCTTTGACTCTTGTCCGAGAAGGTTCGAGAAATGCAGACTTGTACACCAATAAGATTTCATTTGGATGATTTTTGCTCACTGCAAGGGAATGAGTACTAGACTAGGAACAGTGAGAGGATAAAAGAATTGTTCCCTGCAACTTGCTAACTGCAAATTCACTGCCTTGAATCCCATTGTAGGGGAAAGACTGGATATAAATCTTTGAAATAAATATAATGATTCAGAATGCAGAGCAGCATTCTATGAAAGGATTGCCCCCTAGTTTAACCAACTGGCATAGATTACTTGGACATTAATAATCTGTAACCAGAGTAGCTCCTACCAGAGAAATCATGGCTCATCTTAGTGTTATGTTGAAAAAGATTATTCCCAAATGATACATACAGCCCATGTGAATGACCAAAAGATTTGGCAGCCAGAGAACAGAAACAGACTTCAATATACTGTATTACCTACTCACAGGCATCTTATTACAGACTTCATTACTCTTATTTCCCTGCTTGTAGCACAGTGTAGTTTGAATTCTGTGGTATATCTGTTCAAGGCTGCCTTGGTAGATGTGGGGGCTCTCTTGGCCAGTGCATCACATCTTCTTTTTGGCTCCCACACTACATCAAAATACTCATTCATATGGTTATCTATTAACCTTGGCTTTAGGCAAACGTCCTTGCCTTGTCCCCCAACCTTGTCATAGTTAAAACTGAGTTTGTTGCCTCTTCTCCACACCCAAAGTTTTGCATTCCTATGGACACCCCACACACAGATTGCTATAAAGGTCTGTCCACTCCATCACATGCGTCTGAGGAAGTAGGCTCAAGTCTACAAAAGCTCAGGCTACCAGCCTTTTTCATCTAGTTAATTTCAAAGGTGCAGTGAGAACCCTTTGCATACAGATTTTTCAGACTAACGTGGCTATGTCTTATATTTACTATGTTACCAAAGGTACACCCTCCCCTCCCACCCCCCCGTATGGCAACTGGGGGTGATGGTGCATATCTACACTGTGGAAATAACGTTTGACACTGCTTTAACTGCCATGGCTCCATCCTACAGAATCCTGGAATCTGAGGCAGGGAAGGCTTTAAGACCTTATAAAACTCACTGCTTGCTGAAGAAGAGTGCTGAGGATCCTATAGACCAGGGGTAGGCAACTTATGGCCCGGGGGCCGGATGCTGCCCCCCAAGACCTTTGGACTGCCCCAGGACGGTCCTGCCACTGCCGCCGCCGCCCCCAGCCATGATGATATTGATTATTGTTGTTATTCCTTGTTCTTGGGGTTTTCTTGGCAAAATCTCCACAGGGGTTTTGCCATGGCTTTTCTGGGGCTGAGAGAGTGTGCATGCATATTTTTAAAATTTTTAATTTTAATATTTATTTATTAATTTATTTATTTATGGTGCTTCGGCCCTCAATTGTCTGAGGGACAGCAACCCGGCCCCCGGCTCAAAAAGGTTGCCTACCCCGCTATAGACAGCCATGAGGAGGAACAAATGGGTCCTAAAACAGATCAACAGGATGGAGTAAAGCCAGCTAAACAGTGTCAAATACATCAATTCTGCAGTGTGGCAGCAGCCCTGGAGAGGCTAAAGTTGGGACCTCAAATGCTTTCCTGCTGAAGGAAGGCATTTTTGGGCTAGCTGAAACATAAGACTCGACCTCTCCCTGGAAGCCAAAATGATAAAATTTAGACTGTCATACTTTGGGCACATCATGAGAAGGAATGACTCGCTAGAAAAGACAATCATAGAATCATAGAATGATAGAGTTGAAAGAGACCACAAGGGCCATCCAGTCCAACCCCCTGCCATGCAGGAACTCCCAATCAAAGCATCCCCGACAGATGGCCATCCAGCCTCTGCTTAAAGACCTCCAAGGAAGGAGACTCCACTACTCTCCGAGGGAGTGTGTTCCACTGTCGAACCGCCCTTACTGTCAGGAAGTTCTTCCTAATGTTGAGGTGGAATCTCTTTTCTTGCAGCTTGCATCCATTGTTTCGGGTCCTAGTCTCTGGAGCAGCAGAAAACAAGCTTGTTCCCTCCTCGATATGACATCCCTTCAAATATTTAAACACGGCTATCATATCACCTCTCAGCCTTCTCTTCTCCAGGCTAAACATCCCCAGCTCCCTAAGTCATTCCTCATAGGGATTCATGGTTTCCAGACCCTTCACCATTTTAGTGGCCCTCCTTTGGACACGATGCTGGGAAAGATAGAAGGTGGTAGAAAGAGAGGAAGACTGCATGCCAGATGGATGGACCCAACCAGGGAGGCCATGGGCTTGAATTTGCAGGACCAGAGCAGAGGAAGACAGGGAGCATGGAGACAGACGGATGCCTCATCCACACGGTCCCCATAAACTGGGATCAACTCGAGGGCAGGGTGACCAAGTGCCATAACCGCAAAGGATGGCAAGGCACGGCAAAAATGTGGGACATCCAAGAAAAATGTGGGACGTGACCAAATAAAAGCGAAAAACACTCCTATAAATGTAAATTCCCGCTTCTTAGTCATGCTCAAAATGGAGGCCATCCAATTAAAAGTGAAAACACTCCTATAAATATAAATTCATTGCTTCTTAGACATGCTCAAAAGGGAGGCCATTAAAGAAAAACAAGAGGGCATGACAAAATAAAAGCTAAAAACCATTCACGTAAAGATAAATTCCTGCTCCTTGGTCATGCTCAAAATGGAGGACATTTAAATAAAAGCTAAAAACACGCCTATAACTATAAACTCACTGTTTCTCAGTCATGCTCAAAATGGAGGGAATGACCAAATAAAAGCTAAAAGCACTCCCATAAATGTAAATATCAGCTCAAAAGGGAAGACATCTTGAAATTCCTCCTGGACAGGAGGTTGGAATGGAGGACATGTCCTGCAAAACGAGGACGGCTGGTTACCCTGAGGGCAGCTAACAGCCAAACGAGGAATGCCAGGCGTTCCCGAGGATGGAGCTGCAGCTTTAAAGCGGTGTCAGACTGCACCATATCTGCGGGGATTTAGGCAGCCGCTCCCCGGCCGCTGGCCCCTTCCTTCCAGAGGCCCCCCGCCCTCCTACCTTGCTGCTTCCGCGGGAACGCCGCTTCCTCGCCAAACAGACACAGAGGCAGAGGCTGCTTCCCGGAAGAGAGTAGGCCCCTCCCACCCCCTCCGGCGCCTCGGCCAATGACCGCCCCGTCCCCGCCCCCTTCCTTGCCCTCCATTGGCCGTTTCCGTCGGCGACTCTCTGCCGCTCTCGCCGGCCTCCGCACGAGGAGCCAATGGGGAGGAGGGATGTTGGGAAGCTTGAAGCCGGAGTGAGAACGCGATCGGGATTGGCTGGAATGCGGAGGAGGCGCGGAGGGCCTGCGGAGGGAGGCGAAGGGAAGATGGCGGCGGCCGCGGAAACGGTGGAGCTGCATAAGTTGAAGGTACTGAGTCCGGCGGGGCCTCTCGGTTCCCCCTCCGGCCCCGGTTGGGCCTTGGGTGGGAGGCCGCCGAGGAGTCACAGGCTTTGCAGAGGCTGGGTTTCGGAGGGAGGAGGAAGTGGCCAGACCGCCTCAGGAAGCCCTGCGGAATCCAAGGGGTCGCCGTGAGTCCTCGGGGGGCTTGAGTAGTGAGGCCCTCCTTTTCCCGGACATTCCAAGACGCCCTCCATTTTGAGTAGGGCTTGGGGCATTTTATTTGGCCGTGTCCGGCGTTTTGCTCGAACGTCCTCCATTTCGCGGTGCCTCGTCGTCTTTGGCGGTTACCGGCGGCCTCCCTTCCAGCCGTCGTCCCCCGCTCTGTCCGGCTGAGGGCTTGTGCCGCGAGGAGGGCATCCATCCTCCGCTTCCCCTCTCCTCAGAGGAAGGCAGCGCTCCCTTGGTCCCATGCGGGTTTGCTTTCCTTATAAATGTTTGCCTGTTACTCTCAACGCCGCGAGGGAGAGCCAGAGTGGCCTAGCTGTTTGAGCGTTGAACTAGGACTCTGGAGACCAGGGTTCGAATCCCCGCTCGGTCACACTCTCTCAGCCTCAAGGGATGGCAATTCTCTGGATAAAAATCCCATGATAGGGTCGCCTCAGGGTCACCATAAGTCGGAAATGACTTGAAGGCACACAACAACAACAAGTGTATAATATATATGTTTCTGTAACCTTGGGTGACTCACGGCTTCAGAGGATGGCAATGGCAAACTGGTGAACAAATTTTGCTGATAGGGTCATCTTAGAGTTGCCATAAGTCAGATGTGACTTGAAGGCATACACCACCACCAACAACACATGTGTATAATGTGTTTCTGTGATTTTGGGTGAGTCGCACTCTCTTGACTCAGAGGGAGGCAATGACAAACCACCTCTGAACAAATCTTGCCAAGAAAACCTCATTGTAGAGTCGCCATAAGTCAGAAATGACTTGAAGGCACACACTGTTGTTGCTGTTGTTGTTGTTATGTTTATTTATATCCCACCTTCCTCCCAATACAGGGACTCAAGGTGGCAAACAACATCCCAAGTCTGCAAACTACACTGCCTCTTTTGTTACTTTTGTTTTTTTCCTGGCCTTACTCCTCTGCTTTATAAACAGCCTGAAATGTGCTTTCTGTAACATGGAGATGAGGTGAAAGAAAAGTTTGACCTGCTAAGCTTCTGCTTCTAAGGCTAAAGTCACAGGATTCTGTAAGACAAGAGTTTTTATGCATTGTTGATATCTTGCAAACTGCAAATAAACGTAGGTTAATATTAGAAGAATGGGATAGGAGTCTGTATCAGTTTGGTGTCTGTTGTTGTATGCCTTCAGGTCCAGAGTCAGAGTCTAACACTCAAATCACTACATCACACTGGCTCTCCGTAGCCCTAAAATATTGGAGCTAGTGATGATAAATGTATGGCACATCTCATTGTATTGTGAAGGAAACGTGAAAATAGAGTAGCTGTTCATTAAACCATATCACACAGTGTAAAACGTGGAGCTTATTTTCTTGTTACTGTTATTAGATTCATCTACTGACTATTCCTTTTTATATTTCATCTTCTGAAGTTATAGGAGAAAACTTATTTTACTAATACAAAATCATTTGTATTTTACAGCTTGCTGAGCTGAAGCAAGAATGTTTAGCCCGAGGTCTGGAGGCAAAGGGAAATAAACAGGACCTCATCAACAGATTGCAGGCCTATCTTGAGCAGCATGGTATGTTCCTCACTATACTTTGCCAAGATCCTTACAATGTAATTATGTCCAGAAGGAGACACTACTTGTTAGGGTAGGAAGGAAGCAACTTTCCATTGAGTCAAATAGATCAATTTTGTAGTTGCAGTTTTCTGCAGCAGCAGTGCACCACTGCTGTGGGGCAGGAGTAATTCTTTGACATACACTGTACAGTCACACACACCCCTTTCTCATGGACTTGAAGTCCACGGTTTTGCATATTCACAGAGGGGCAGCCTCCATGAAAACCAATGGGGCATTCCCCATTCAAGCCTATCGAGCTTGAATATTGCTGAATCTCCGTTTTTGCAGGAGGGGGGGTTCTGGAATGGATCCCCCACGAAAACGGAGGGCTGACTATACAATAGTATTCTGCACCATTCCCTGTGCCTCTTGATTGTATCCAGTACAGTGCAATACGCATCTCTCCTTGCTAGGCTGGCACAGTAGTTTCATGGTCTGTGGCAATACACAAGACTTCAGAATAATCCTATCCTTCAGAATAATCCTTCTGACATCTTGTGTAGGATAGGTGTGAGTCTTTAAAATGATAAAAGTGTTTGACTTTTTTGAGCACTGTCAGTATTCCGAAAAAGAGCACCAGAAGTAGATGAGGTAGCCAAATTTACAAAACTCGACCGCAGAAAAGCTTTTAGTGGCAAGATAACAGTACACTAAAAGCTAGTTTATGCACACATTTTCAAACAGTACTCTATTTTATTTATTTATTTTTGCTTTTAGGCACTGCTTCTTAATGGAGCAAAATAACAGTGTTTTTAATATGACTTTACATAGAACATCAAACAATGTTTTGACATTGCTTGCATTTGTTTATTTTCTCACTCCCTCATTTCTTATTTAACACTAACCATATTAGATGCAGTAAGTAAGCTGATCTGTGCTTGCTGTCCATACTAAAATTGGAAGCTATGACTGCATGCTTAAGTGTAACAGCAAATTATGGTTTGAGCTAAACAGCAAATCATGGCGGGAATTGGAGCACATAGGAAAGGGAGAAAATTCATTTATTTACATGTAAATAGAGCTTTTGTGACTTTAACCATAAGATAATTTGATATTTGTACTTTTAGTAGTGATAATAATGGTTGCATACATATGTACAGTCACCCCTCCATTTTTGTGGACTTCAAGTTCGCGTCCCTCGCCCATTCAAGAGTGGTGAACGGAGGGGGATAAAATGAGGCATATGCCTGCGGCGTGTGCTTGTGCACCCCCATGGGTGCGCACTTCCTTTCAAGCCAATGGGGCTTGAATGTCCATGATTTTTCATTTTTGCAGTGGGGTGGTCTGAAACAAATCCCCTGCGAAAACGAGGGGCAACTATAATATAACTTGCTGTGTCATAAAATTGAGGTAGTCTAGATTATTTGAAAGTGCAGAACATAATAAAAGAGAAGATTCCAAGTAGAATCCACATTTTCTAACAAGTATGAGCTCAGTACACTAAGTACATAAAGTGTATTTTACTTTATAATTCTTTCTTTTTTTCTTAATGGTTTTAGCTGAGGAGGAGGCCAATGAAGAAGATGTCCTGGGAGAAGAAACAGAGGTAAAGCACATTTTTGTGCAAGATAGTTATTTAATCCTTTAGTTCATTTAATTATATATTGTACTACATCCTGATCTGTATTTGTTTTTCTTTCCTGATAAAAGAATTTACAGTTGCAAAGCTCTCTATTGCTATCGCCACTGTGTTTGAACTACTGAGTAATTCTACACATTTACTAGAAATGTTGCATGTTGACTTCTTTGGCAAGTAGACAGCCAGAAAAATATCCAACTTTAGTTGGCTATATGACAGTATTTTATACACTTAAATGGGAATAAGTTCTATTGAATTCACTGGTATACATGTCTTAGTAGATGTATAGAGAATTGTGCTGCAATAGGTGTCTGTTTTTGTTACAGTTATAGTTTGATACATAATAGGTGAGCAAAGCTGGAATTTTCAGCTGGTAATATGTTAGCCTGGGAAACTGCCTTTTAAAAAAAGAACTCGGATAATGAAGTATCAGAACAGGTACTGTGTGCTGTGATTGGTTTATGATGAATTGGTATTGTGTAAAAACAAAAATTAATCTGTTTATTGCCTGTGTCATTGAGAATGTGTACTGTGCTTTTAAATATGTATACTTTATTAAGAGAAATGTTTCTATAGTTGGCCATCAGTATCAATGGATTCCACTTTCTAAAAAGCAAACCTTGATTGCCATTTTATATAAGGGGCACCATTTTACTATACCATTGTATATAATGGAACTTGAGCATCCACAGATTTTGATATCCACTGAAGGTCCTAGAACCAAACCCCAATGGGTACCAAGGACCCTCTGTATTATGAAACTACATATAATGAAAACACATACAACAGAATAAAAAAAGCATACAAACAAAACATATATAAACATAAATGATATCCTTACAAAGGAAACTAGTGAAATGTGGTCTAGTCAGTGTGACTGTTAGGTCAATTTGTAATTGGTTGATCGACCAAGCCCAGCGGGTACTCAACAATCGCTCTTCCTCATCCTAGAGATGTGACAACCAGGGTGCCACAGGGTTCTGCCCTGGGCCCCGTGCTATTCAATGTCTGTATCAGTGACTTGGATGATGGAATAGAGGGCATGCTTATCAAATTTCCAGATGACACCAAATTAGCAGGGGTACCTAATGCCTCAGAGGAGAAGTTCAAAATTAAAAATTACTTTAACAGATTAGAAAACTGGGCCAAAACTAACAAAATGTATTTTAATAGGGAGAAATGCAAGGTACTACACTTGGGCAGTAAAAATGAAATGCACAGATACAAGATGGGTGAAATCTGATTTGACAGCATTGCATGTGGAAGGGATCTAGAAGTCTTGGTGGACCATAGGCTAAACCAGGGGTAGGCAACCTAAGGCCCGGGGGCCGGATGCGGCCCCCCCGAGGCCTTTGGACTGGCCCCAGGCTGGTCCTGCCGTCAACAGCCATGATGATATTGATTATTGTTGTTATTACTTGTTCTTGGGGTTTTCTTGGCAAAATCTCCACAGGGGTTTTGCCATGGCTTTTCTGGGGCTGAGAACGTGTGCATGCATATTTTAAAATTGTTTTTTAATTTTTAATTTTTAATTTTATTTATTTATTTATTTATTTATTTATTGGTGCTTCGGCCCCCCAATTGTCTTGAGGGACAGCAGCCTGACCCCTGGCTCAAAAAGGTTGCCTACCCCTGGGCTAAACTTTAGTCAGCAATGTGGTGCAGCAGCTAAGAAACCCAATTCAGTTCTAGGCTGCATCAGTAGGACTATCGTGTTTAGATCAAGGGAGGTAATAGCACCATCCTATTCTGCTTTGGTCAGGCCTCACTGGGAATACTGTGTCCAGTTTAGGCACTGCAATTCAAGAGGGATGTGTACGAGCTGGAGCATGTCCAGAGGAAGGTGACCAAAATGATGAAAGGTCTGGAAACTATGCCTTATGAGGAGTAGCTTAGGGAATTGGGTATGTTTGCAAGAAAAGGTTAAGGGGTGACATGACAACTGTGTTTAAATATTTGAAGGGATGCCATATTGAGGATGGAGCAAGCTTGTTTTCTGCAACTCCAGAAACTAGGACACAGCAATGAATTCAAGCTACAGGAAAAGAGATTCCTGTAGGAAGAACTTCCTGATGGTCAGAGCTGTTTGACAGCGGAATACACTGCCTTGCAGGGTCTCCTTCTTTGGAAGCTGGGTGGCTACTTTTCAGGGGTGCTTTGATTGTGTGTTCCTGAATTGCTGGAGTTTGGACAGGATGGTCCTTATGGTC